TCTAAGTAGGGAATGATATGTGAAATTTTCTAACTCAAGCACCAAATGAATTTAAATTCTACCATCAGGAGCAGAACATATGTTGATATCTAAAACATTATAGTTGTACCCAGATGTCCATGACGAGCGAACATCCCTTGTTAAAAGAAGGATATAGAGATAACGAACAGCATTTAATGTCAAAGTTCATTAAACAATATATAAAATAAGAGCAGAGCAAACAAGGACCTCCAAACTTCAGAGGTGGGATCAAGTGCCATGGAGGAGTGAGCATCCCAATTCGTATTAGTCCATTATTTACACACTAATTGATGACGGATTATCCCATAATTTCCAGATCATCATAAAGAGGAAAGGATCGGTTTGTACGGTCGGCAGAAGATGATCATTCCCAAATGGCTCCCGATCTATGAATTTTCAGAGGTCCGTGTTTTTGATGCTATGTTTGTTTAATGGAATTTTGAGCTTGAATATTGTTCGTTATCTTTATACAATTCATTTATTTATCATATCCAATCGCAAAAATAAAAGTATGTAAAAAAAGTATGTTTATCTAAAATTTGGCTAGTATAATAACAGGACCAGGGTATCCTTCACTTACCAGGGCATTGGTTTAAAATAAAAAAAAAAATCCCATTATTTCTTTGAAGTTCGGCGAGTTCAGGACATATGCTTTTTCATTGTGCAAAGTAAAGTATTAGAGCTACAAGTTTCAACATTTTAACATCGTGATATGCTGTCAGATCTCAGAAATAAAGTATTAAATATTTACATTGTATTTTGTTAGAGTAAATAAAATTTAATGAGCTTCTACTTCTTCTTTTTTTCAAAAGAATTTCTTCTTGTTTCTATACCCTTGAGGTTTATTAAGCATTTACAAAAAAAAATATTAACAGGATATATCTTTGTAGTTGAATCTTTATTAATTACATTTAAGTCTCCATTATATCCGCATTAGATTTTTTGGTCTTTGATTATAATTCGAAGAGGCAAAATTAAGTGCCACCTGTTTAAAGGTTTTTATAAATTGTTAAATTACAAAGCTGCGCTCGCCAAAAGCGTCACACCGTAAAAAATATAATGCATAGATTCATTCAATATATACCGTCGTAATCAATGTAAATTTATTTTTCTCAATAGTTCATGTAACTGAATAGATGAAAAGATAATCAATAGCACCGTTCTGAATACTCGATAACTTTAAATTAATGTCAATCCCTGTATTTCATTGAAAAATAAGTCATTCTCAAACAGATTTGAAAGTGTACGTGTCAATGTTTTTATTTAATTTTAGCGAAGGGAATTTTTTCGAGTTTTGTTTAAGTCTGTTTTCCTTAATTCATTAAACAAAGCTGCACGTGTACTACTAAAAATATTTATAGAAATCGGTAAATATCGTCGCTGTAAGCATTTATTATACCTGTCACCAGTGTATTAAACAAATGAGACACCCATTTTTCTTCACTTAGATAATAAACCTGCTAAATGAAAGTTCTTATATTCATATGAAGCAGAATATGTGCAAAGTCCCCCATTTTTCTTCATTAGATAATAAACCTGCTAAACGAAAATTCTTATATTCGTATGAAGCAGACCTTCATCATCTGCATACGCTGTGTATATATAAATATCTCAATTAAATCGATACGCAAGAGCATGCTCTACGTAAAAATTCTATGGTCGATACAATGATATTGTCAGCAAATACAATTATCATTGAGACATTGCTGACTGACGTTTTCATACTAATTGTTAGTCCATTATTTCAACACTGACTTGACGACGGATTTTTCCTTTATTTCACGACAAGGAGCACACAACGGGTGTGGCCGGTCAGCAGGATTTGTTCACTCCTCCATGGCACTTGATCACACCTCTGATGTTTCGGAGGTCCGTGTTTACTCTGCTCCTATTCTGTATTATTTTATTGACTTTGATATTGAATACTATTCGTTATTTCCATATCTTACTTTTCTCTCTCTCTCATTTTGCGAATTAAACATGGTTTGTCTTATAAAATTCGTTTAAATCAGTTTCATTATAAAAACTTATACAATGTCATTAATAAGATACTAGTATTCTTATATGTACAGGCATCAGACTAGCCTCCTTCATCAATATGTATTCAGAGGGAAAATCAGTTTGTATATGTTTGTATTACTAATTTTTCTAATGATTTACGCTATAATTAAAAAAAATTACGTTGTGAAATTTCATTCAACTCATTACGTTAGCTGTATCGATTCAGTTTGTTAAAAAAGATTACCTCCAGCCTTTTACATTAGGTTAATTTAGGTTAATTAATGCGGTTTTCCATGTGTCACAAACTGCTTCTCTAAGACAAGAGAGATAACTCTACATTTAATTTGGTTCAAATTTTAAATTTTGCATCAACTTAATTACTATGACGCTGTCTACTGAATGTAGTCTAATTTTTGTGAATTTATTTATGTTGGTGAAAACAAGGGTTCACTTCACAAAAAAAACTATTTAAACACAAGACAACACAGTGATAAAGGTTCAGCGGGTTATATAATCCAATAAATAAGTAAACATCTTTATCTTTACAACAGGTCCTACAAAAATCAAAGTAAAAAACCTCATCAATACATACCATATATGCATTCAGTAATACATACCATATATGTATTCAAGCTCTGCCCAGCCATACATACCATATACATGTATGTATTCAGGCTCTACCTCTCTAAGACAAGAGAGATAACTCTACATTTAATTTGGTTCAAATTTTTAATTTTGCATCAACTAAATTACTATGACGCTGTCTACTGAATGTCGTCTAATGTTTGTGAACTTATTTATGTTGGTGAAAACAAGGGTTCACTTTATAAAAGATAATTAAACTAAACTATTTAAACACAAGACAACACAGGGATAAAGGTTCAGCGGGTTCTATAATTCGATAAATAAATAAACATCTTTATCTTTACAACTGGTCCTATAAAAATCAAAGTATAAAACCCCAGCAATACATACCATATATGTATTCAGCAATACATACCATATATGTATTCAGCAATACATACCATATATGTATTCAGCAATACATACAATATATGTATTCAGCAATACATACCTTATGTGTATTCAAGCTCGTGCATTTTAACAGCCATTTTCTGCCAATATTCACCAATCTAAGTTCAATAACTCCTTTATTATATATCTAAAATATTTCCTCATATTTTTAAGTATCAGTATTCAAATTAACGCCTGTGCTGGACGTGTTCAATATTGCATCATTCTGATGACCCCGAGCATTATGATTTGCTTTTTTTTTTAGGTTTTAATAGGTTAAATATGTACTAAAATTCTAATAAGTATTTCATTTTTTTGCAAATAATAAAGAAATCTTACACTGCATAAAAACTCGCGTTTAATATAATTTAATAAATTCGTTTACTCCAGTAAATTACTTGTATTGAATTTAATTTATTTATAACGGTAGATTTTACATGAGATATATTGCCATATAATTAACTACAGTTTTCAAATAAGTATAATCATATTTAATGCAAAATACGTCGAGAATAATATAGTTTAATTAAGAAGATTATACGTTTCGTTTAAGAATATCGACATGCAAAAGTAAATTTGCTTATACTTAAAGTTTAAGTATATTTTCGGTATTTTGAATATGTCATAAATAATTCTTTATACCTAATGTAAACTTATGTTGAAACATTTTTGAAAAAAAAAAATATTTAGGCCCCCTATCTATTTTAATTTATTCATTTCTCATTTTGAATTATTTAACCCTTATGTAGATTTTTCAAAACTGTGGAATATAACTTAGTTTTTCTCTCTATCGACTACTACTGTAGTACAATTACATCGGGATCGAAGTCGTGCTCGAATAGCAATTAATTTATAAACAACACACCGCGCCGAAATTCAATTTTTGGAGGGTTCCACGCAGCCATGTTGAACTTGATCATGATGTTGTATATGTGGAAGGGGCGAAAGAGAGTTACGCGAAAAGGAGAAGCATGATTAACTTTGGGTGGAATTTCTGTTTTAACAGAAGATAAAGACATTTACGACACTGTATAGCGGTAGGAACAAGTTACAATGTACAAAATTTTATCATGTTGTCCTTGAATGGATAATTGCCTCTGCTACTGATAATGTTACTGTTCTGGACACTACACATAAAATGCCTGGCAGTAAAAACTTTTGGGCAAGCGCTATTTAAAATTTGTAATAATTATTTAAACACTTTTAAACATCTCATAAAGATGGATTTTAACCAGAATTTTCTCGTTTGGGATTGGTACTAGAATTTTAGTGTTCCTCTGTTCAGCATTTACAGAGTATGTTGTACAATGTAATAAAATATATATTTATTTCTTAATGCATACTCAAAATCATATTCAGTACTTATTTTGATTATTTAATCATGTTAATAGCTGCAGTGGACTGTGCCTGAGATGATTCCCCACAGCGCCGGCTATAGACAGCTTGTGAAAATGGTGAGAACCATGCAGCTCAAATTTTCAATTAACACAATTGCCTAACAATGTTTTTATTAACTTGTATCTTTTAGCATAAGACTATAAAAAATATTGCAACAACTTGAAATGCTATATACCAAGTAACCAAGACGAGGGTTATATTCTTAATTCCTTATCCTAAAAATACAATAGCAATGGATTCTGAGCTATGCATAATTTTTCTTACGTTAAATACTTAAGCATGATTATTAAAAATAGCTATCATATATTCTATGATGCACAATTATGCATGCATTATTTACAGGAATCCAAATGATCATAAAAAATGACAAAAGCAGTATAAAGATTGAAACGAAGGTAAGATGTCTTAAATTTTCTGATAAGATCAATAAAATCACATGAATTAATTTGTTCAGCTCACCTGAGTCATTTTAAGACGAGAGCAAGTTTTCTGATCTGTGTCTGGTATTCGTCTGTCATCTATAAACTTTTCAATTTTTTATTACATTCATCAGAATTAATCCTAGTTTGAACAAGTAACCCTGCAAGATACATCTTTTCCTTCAGAAATTGTGCCAGAAAATATTGAAGTGCTATGGGAATGATCAACATTGAACTTGCAGAGCCATCCTTCTGAAAGTGACTTGACCAGATATTTGGCTACCCAGTATGAGGTACGAACTAATCATTTGTGGTACGACTTTGTGTATGGGATTGCCACCATTTACTGGTACTTTGCATTTGCTGTCCACTTAAAAAAAACCCTGCTATCTACAGTGTAAGTTGTTAATATGTTTTTTTTCATGTTAATTCACTTGCTCATCACCCCAATAACTTGCATGTTAAATGCTGTAGATGCTAACCTTTGCATTTTTGTATACTCTTAAATTCCATGTGTTCCGAGTATGTACATCCATTTTTACATGTATATCATGTTTTGTCGTCTCTAAATTTGATCTAATACATATCATATAATATGTTTTTGAAATAATTCGCTGAACTAGATCACAAAGTTTAAGGATTTTATTATTGTATGAATGTTATCTACTTGCTCTAATTATAAATACATTTGTTTGTATATTTTTTCTACGTGATGCCATACCTGCTTTTAATTTTTTATATTTTTTTTATCCAAAGTATCTTTCTGCTAAATTGAATAAAATGTCGTGGAGGAACACGAAGAAAAGGGCTGCGCATCTCAACATATTCAAGGTCAAGCAGGTGAATACAATCGTAAATTGCTCCAAAAAAAAAAGATGACAAAAAGTCACCAGTCCCCAATTTACATGTACTTCCACAAAATCTGTAGCTAGCTGGTGTGAAACTATAGATATGTATGTCTTAATATGTTAAATGCTGTAAATGCTATTCTTTGCATTTTCGTAAACTTTGTAAATCTTCAAATTCAATGTGCTCAGACTACGGTACCATTATGTATGTTTCAGGTCATATTTGGTCATCTATAAATTTGATATATACATATAATAAATGTTTTTTATGTAATTCACTTAACTAGATGACACAGAATCTTTTCATTGTGAAAAATGTTATTTTCTTGCTTTAGTCATGTTAGTCTTCAGTACACCCTGTTTGTATATTTTTTCTCCTTTTTGTATATTCTTTCTACGGAGAGCCATACCTGTTATTAATTTTTCATATTTTGTTTGTTACAGCTTTTTACCTTATCCATAGTATCTTGCTGCTAAATGAAAGAATTAGGATGGAGGAACAGAGAAAAGGGCACCTCAACATGCTCAATGTCAAGCAGGTAAACATAGTGGTAAAATGCTAAAAAAAAAAAAAAATGGCAAAAAAAATCATTAGTCCCCAATTTACATGTATATCAACACAACCTTCAAAATCTGTAGCTCGCTGGCCTGAAATTATAGATAAGTATCTGTCTTTATTACCCAGACTTGAAAAAATGGCAAAGTCTTTTGTGGTCTTCTATAAATTTTTTGATTAATCAAAATTGAGCTGTGTTTCCTCTAGATTAATTGATAATTTTACAATCAACTCAGATTTTGTGTACTAGTTAATATATGCAATTGCATAAATCCGGAAGCACACATATAATATGTATAAATATATATAGGCAAATGGGTATTCATTTTTATGTTTGTTGTAGAAATTAGGAGCTAGATGTGCTTCTCCAGAGCTGAAAACTTCTTGGCAAGAAGAGGAGAAAAAGCAGGAAGAAGCAGATTTAAATATTAATTGCGTCTTCATAGTACAGAAAATGATTTTAAAGATGATACTATCTATGAAATTAGAAAACCGAAGTGTCGTTTTGATGATTGTGAGAAAGTCTTCAAAGAACAGGACATCAAAAGTGCCACTCTCAAATCAAAGCTTTCTAAAAGACAGAGCATAAGAAGAACTAGGACAAGTAAAGAATCTAAAAGAGTCAAACCTATGGATGTAGTAATTTAAACAGAGATGGGCTATTAGAGATGAAATATCTGAGTTGCTTTGTTTTGCACAAATGTAATGCTCTTTTTACTTATTTTTAATTGACACATTCAATGTTAGATAAGAAAAATATACCTAGTGTTGTATTTTTGACAGTGAAAGTTTTTCTGATGCTTGATTACAGATTAAAACTGATATGTTTTTTTTTATTGTTTAAACATTTATTGGTTTACTGTGTAGTACTGTATGCAATCATGCACTTTAATCTTGATTTATATATTACATATATGTACAAGTCTGACTTAAATATAAGTGCATGGGCATTATTGTGGAAAAAATAAGACAATCAAGGGTAGTCTGAAAAAGTTTTGCTGGCAGTAAGTTGCAGATCTTGATACCCAAGTAAGAGAAAGGTGGCGTCTCTGACCGATCCTTTTGCTCTTGCTTGTGGGCGAGTGAGGCTTCTCTGTCAGTGGCTTAGTGAGTCATAGATGTAAAAAATAGAATAGGCAAATGAGGTAAATACATTTCTGAGTAAAAAAGGGGTGAATTGTGATTTTAATAAATATTACAATTAATTTTGCAAGAGTAATGAGAATTGCAAGAGTAAAATATTGATTTGTTTCCTTCCATTTGAAGTAAAAGAGCTTATGACGAGAATTTTTTTCCATTAAAATAGAATTGTAATTAAGGCTTAAAAAATTGCCGAATATACTTGTACATCTGTTTATACAGAACTTTTATATGTGCATGTTTCAGAACTCAATCTTGATATTTTAAGGCAAAGTTAAAAATATCACTATTGAAATGTCTGGCATTCCAATGTAAAGTTGATTTAATGGGGATATGTTAAGTTACAATATTTCATCAAGCAATAAACCTAGCAGTTGGAACAGAAATGGGCTACATGTATTGGAAACAAATTTAAGCTGCTGCTGTTTTGTGTAATTGTGATACTTTTTCCTTAATTTGAATTGACATTACCAAATGATATAAAAGATTTTTTGGGGTATTGTATTTTTCACAGTCAACATTAAGTATTTTACAAGTTGAAGTTGAATAATTAGTGCATGGACATCTATTGTGGAAATACTTGGGAAACAATAAAAGGGTGGTCTGAAAGAGCTTTGCTGGCAGTAAGTTGCAGATCTTGATACCCAAGCAAGAGAAAGGTGGTGTCTCTGACCGATCCTTTTGCTCTTGCTTGTGGGCAAGTGAGGCTTCTCTGTCAGTGGCTTAGTGTGTCTTATTAAATGTACATGTAAAAAGAATGGACAACTTTTATTGGCAATTTTTATTCTTTTTATGCAAAGTATGATATAATTTTTTGTGGGAAATTGAAAAGCCATTTACAACCCATACAGCAGTTTTAATATGGTCAGTTTCAGTCACAGATTTTGCAGTCTTTTGGAGTCCAGAATGACTACATTTTTGACCTGTTGTGTTCCGATTTATTGCGGATTTGAATTTTACACACAATTCTATTCTTTAATTAAATTATTTATAATTACTTCAGTTTATTACTTACTACTAGTATGTAAAAATTTACTCCATTATAATTGAGCTACAATCATGATTGTAAATTTTTAAATTCTGACATTTAGACATAAATTTGAAATATCTTGTACTTTGTTAGAACTCATAATGATTGTTTGTACACCATTGAGACAACATCTAATAAAATTGAATGAGAAATGGATTTGTGAATGATTGTAAAATACTTGCCAAAAACCAACAATTGTAAACCATGCAAATTATTGATGGAATAAATATAAAATTAAAATAATATGCAATAATATAATAATGATACATGTATTAAATTTCATCAAATACAACCTTAAATTTCAATGATATGGAAAGGTTTAATCCGTACATTTTCATCACATATACAAGAGATTTAATATTAGTTTATGAAAGATTAAAATTTGGACGTATTAGTAAGTTTACAATTTTCCTTATATAACTTAATTTTTGGAAGTATTATAAAGTAAAGTGTGAATTTAACAAAAAATAATGAGGTAAAGATCTACCTTAAATATCATTAAACGAACAAATTTAACTTGACCATAAAACTTTATTTTATTGGCATGTTTAATAAGAGTTATATGTTTTGTATATTAGAGGTATAATATTTGTTTACGGCAGACTTAAATCCGAAAGTATTAGTAGGTTTACAATTTTCCAAACTTTATTAAATTTGTTCTTTTAATTTTTCATTAAACTCGTATTAAATGCTAATTATTTTCTTACATTTACGATCCCACAATATGTTATATTATGCATTTAAACATTAAGGTCAAGATCTAGTAAATAACTTGAGACTAATTTTTGGTGCTAGATCCATTATGACGTCATAATCAATTTCAACTTTCTTTTTCCCGTACTTTACGGCTTTAGCAGAATTATGTAGAAAATGGGGTATTTTCATGTCATTCGATTTGAAATTATATGAAAAGTAAACCGGATACCTATATTAAATTTGATATTAATTTAGAGAAGAGACCATAAACATACTAATTACGGTTTTCTGAGAGACTGTATGCAATCTGGATACATTTCCTTAGCTGAATACGAAAAAAACTCCCGTATTCATGACTGGTTTTCTTAATTTTTCATTGAAATTGACAGTTTAAAATACAGTTTTTCATCTTATTTAACTACAAATTATGCCCCGAAACGCCTTATATGACCAAGCGAAAGTTGTAAAGCATCAATAAAGGAATTGATTTCTCAAGTTTGATAAATCTGTAGGCACCTTTCATTTACTAGATCTTGACCTTAAATAATCGCAGCATTTAAATCGCATTTAAGGTAAAATTAAACCCGACTTTTCATGCAGTGTTACCCAGATGCCACTTTCTTTATTTAATTTAGCTCAAAAATATTGATGAACACACATTACTACTGTTTACCTCAGTGGAGAAAATACAATCTAACAAAATGTGTATCAAATTATATCTATCTTTTAAAATGCGTACAATTCATGATTTGATAACATATTTTCTAATAGGTGCTGCAATGCAGCTTGAAATCAGTTTAGATAAAACACCAAGAGAATAGCAACTATTTAGTATGCAGTGTAGAAATGTTTTTTTTTCTACAAGTTAAATACAATGAGCTTTTCATTTATACAAGGTTTTCAAAATAGATAGTTAGTACATATTTTAAACCCACAAAGCTATTGCTCCAAATGTGTATCCCTTCTCGCGCAGATATTGATTGATGTAGACCGGCAAGCTTTTTAAAAAGATGTTACTTGTGTCTAATTTCATGTCACAAAACGTAAAAGGCTTTTATGAGACAAGAAGAATAACTCTTCATGATTATATCGTCAGGTTTTACTTCAAGAGTTTGTCATAACTTTATGTTTAAGATAATTTGCTGTTTTGATTTCAGTAAAACTATATCAGTTATTCAAATCGGATATCTAAAATAAATTTCAGTCAAAAGATTTCATACGCACTATTTGCAAACTCAAAAATACAAATATGCCTATCAATTAAAACAAGTCAAAACTACAACAAAACCTTTACCTTTTCCTCTCTATATGACACATTGACAAATTATCATATTTACACAAAAATGGCTCTGCTATTATTTCTACTTTCAAAGAGAGTTGCTAAAATTATTTACTGGATTTACTTATTTATTTACGGTTAAAGAAATATCCAATGCATTCATTTCAAACTAGTGTCAAGAGGCCTTCCGATTGTAGCTACATTCCTATTGAGTTGGATTGTTACAGGTAAAACATATTAAAAATCACCTTTGGAATAATGACGAGGTTAAAACAAAAAGGAGGTTTTTTTTTTTTACTTTTAACTTATTTGAAATAGGTAATAAGTCTTTTTTCTGACGCAAAAGTATCAATATCTCCTCTTGACGTTTGTTTTTAAAATATGCTTGATTTTAAGCCATTTTTGTAAGAAAAATTATCTAATCGTCTACACCGAAATAAAAATAAAAATATAGGAAAGAATCTTAATTTAACCCATGTTTTGGCATATACATGTAACATTTTTTTAAGCCGTAAGGTATATTTACGTTATACATGTAGTGCATTATATAAAAGAAACTTCACTCCTCAAACACTATCATTGACATTTTAGCATATTTACAATGCCTTGTTGATGTGAATTGAAGTACATGAAACTTTATATATTTTTAAAACATGCAATTGTAAGAGTGGGAACATCTTAAAGATTAAAGCATAATCTGTTAGATGACGAATGTACCCTTGTATTATTTATATCATTTGACAGTTTTGATCACCATTAATTCGGAACCTTTGAAATGTTCCTCTGGGATTTCCGGATCAGAGGTTTTGAGATGCTCCCCGGGATTTGTCAATGTTAGTGGATGATGTTTCTCTTTCCACAAAGAACCGACATCCATGTTGAATTCCAATGATTTCTGTCACCTGCAAGCTCACATGGTCGTCTTAGACTCAGAGGAGAAAGAAAAAGTACTCACCAAATATATTGAAACAGAGGATCTATGTATGGAATTGCGCTGTGAATTTAAGGTCATATTAACCATTATATACAATGTACATGTATATATAAGTGTTTATTTGTTTGTAAAATCTAAATATTGATGAATCGTAATTTGACATCGAATATCTAAATACCCTAAACATACTCTAAATTTCAAGTTAAACACTAGAATATTTGATTTTAAATTGAACCCTCCACCCCCACCCCCCTACCCCATCTCCCCCGTCCACCCCCCCCCCCCCCCAAAAAAAAATAAAAAGAAGAAACCAATACAAATTTAATAAAAAATAAAAAAAATAGATA